TCATCAATTCTCAGATTTGTGTAATAAATTATCTTGTGTATTTAGTAAAATAAATGTTTTACGAAAAGAAATTTTTTAAAAAATGTTTCTTTCATATTTTATAGTTAAAAATACAATTATGTAATTTTATTACTTATGTATTATATATATAATAATATACAAAATTATATATAATATAGTTTAAACTAGAAAATAAAATTAATTTTAGATAACAAATAAATTTAAGAGTTTGCATTAGCAAATCTATAAATTCAATATTTTCTGTAAAATGTGTTAAATTATTTCATGTTTTAAATGAATTGCTTAAGAAAAAGTGATTGAAAAATATCCTTTTAAGTTATATATAGATAATTAAATATAAAATACAAATTAGTAATTAGTAATCTAATAAAATACTAGAAATAACATATTTTATATTTAAAATTTATAAAATAATAAAAATGAACAAAATATGTATACGTTTATTTATTTGGAACATATATAACAAATAAAATTCACATTCAATTTTAAAAATAAAATATAGTATAACGTATAAAAAACATAATAAATATTATATTATATTGTAGTTAAATTTTGAAAACTATTTGTATCCAAAAATTTACGGAAACCCACCTAATATGTATTAAGTTTATATGGTCACTAATTAATAAAACTATGGATGCAAGCAACAAGATACAATTCGAGTTTAGCAAAAAAAAATACAATTCAAGAAAAGGTTGAGTTAAATGTAATGCTCCAGCGATGGGATTTAGAACATCTTCAAAAATATATTCTATTTTGAAATTTGTAAAACTTCATATTTAAATTTTGAAAGTGTTATCCTCCAAAATCAAAGCTTCAAACCTAATTTCAAAATTATTTATATTTTATACTATGATCCTTATATTTGTTTGTTTGTTTTTGTTTTTGTTTTTCCTTATATTTTTGTAATTAATTATATAAAACTGTTATAAACAAATGCTACATATATATAAATATTATAGGAATCAAAATTTACACTAAAATATAGCTAAAAATTATTATTTAGCTATATTTCCAAAATGAAGCTAAAAATATTATTTAAGGAAGTAGGATTTAAATTTACAAAATCAATTTTGAAAAATATGTATGAGATTTAAATTTTTAAAGGATTAAAACGATAAACAATAAAATATTTGAAAATCATAAATGCGATGTGTAATTATAAAGAAAAATGCAAATATAAAGTTTTACAATTCACAAATTTTGAATTTTAATTTTAAAATTTATTTTTGGAGAAAAAAATGCATATGTAAATTTCTAGAGATTACTTAGGAGATGCTCTTCGAGAGAATTGGAAGAGATACGAAACAAGACATCTCTTTCCCTTCACTTGTGTGTGTTCATCTATTAGTTACCGAACTCAGTTTTTAGTTTTCTATAGTATACTATTTTAGTTTTGTTAAAAGTATTAACAACGCTATTCCAGAAATGTAGATCATATCTTCGAGTCTATTTATAAAAAGAATGCTAAATAATTGATGTAGTAATTAGTAAAAGTTAGTTAAAACGACAGTCCAAACTAGTATTGAAACAGTAATATAATTGATGAAAAATAACTAGCAGTATAATATAGAATCAATGTGATATATAAGCAATCTCATAAATGTGCTGATTATGTAACATACTACTTCTATATAAGTACAGATGAGTAGTATTATGATATAGACTACATAAGAAATTTTAATAAACTAATTATAAAACAATAAATTATTCATATATAAAATTAGTATAAGATATATAATTTGTTATTTCTATATATATATATTAATTTTATATTTTATATGAGAAAATAAATTATAGATATTAGTTATTTTTAGATATGAAATATTACTATTTTAATATAAGAAATTTTAATTTTAATTTAAAGATATATATTTAAATTGGGCTAATAAATATAATTTTGTGATCTTATTATATAAAATAAATTTTTAAAAATTTTTTTTTTAAAATTTTAATATTCTAAATACAAATGCTTTATCAAAAAATTTATATAAAATCATTGAGCAAATTATTTTCAATTTTTAATTGCTATTTAAAATGTGTTTCTAATACATGTTGATTGGCTAATAGGAAGGGTAATAATATACTGATATTTATGGGGAAAAGTGCCTATTCCTACCCAAACAATTTCAATCGTGCAAAATACAACTCGAACAAATTGTCAGTGTCAAATACGATCTGAACTACGTTATAATTCAAAAAAACTACGTGAATTTTTTAAAACGTGCCTAAACCTACATAGACCGTAACAGAAGTTAGTCAACCGTTAAAATGATGAAACGACGTCGTTTTGATTTCATTATTTTTTATTTTTTTTAAAATATGCACATTCCGGGACTCGAACCCGTGCCTTGTCACTCTATAACACAGACACATCAACCACTAGACTAAAGAAACTTCTTGCTATAATACAACAAATTTACAATTATATATGCTACTATACTTTTTTATCTTCTCTAATTAAAACTTTGGTTATTATTACTTTTGATTCTTATAAATATATTAACATGTTTTTTAATTATTATATCTTTAATAAGTTTATATTATTATACTAAAATATAAATAATAAAATATTTATATTTATACAAATTAAAATATATTTCATATTTTGTACATATTTAAAAAAATTTCCATATATAAATTATTTTAAAAATTTAAAACTTGAATGGTAATTTATTTTATTTTGGCAAAGTATATTTCCTCAGGTAAAAATTAATATAAGTTGAATATACTTTACCAAAATAAAAGAAATTACCATTCAAGTTTTAAAATTTTAAAATAATTTATATATGGACATTTTGTAAATAGGTACAAAATATGAAATATATTTAATTTTGTATAAATATAAATATTTAATTATTTATATTTTAGTATAATTTAAACTTATTAAAGATGATATAATTAAAAAACATGTTAATATATTTATAAGAATTAAAAATAATAATAACCAAAGTTTTGATTAGAGAAGATGAAAAAGTATAGTATCATATATAATTGCAAATGTGTAGTTTTATATCAAAAAGTTTCTTTAGTATAGTGGTTGATGTGTCTGTTTTAAAGAGTGACAAAGCATGGGTTCAAGTCCCGGAATGTGCATATTTTTTTAGAAAATAATGAAATCAAAACGACGTCGTTTTATCATTTTAACGGTTGACTAACTTCTGTTACGATCAATGTAGGTTTAGGCACGTTTTAAAAAGTTCAGGTAGTTTTATTGAATTATAAAGTAGTCCAGGTCGTATTTGGCACTGGTAATTTGTTAGGGTTGTATTTGGCACGATTGAAATTGTTTGGGTAGGAATATGTCATTTTCCCATATTTATGCTAATAATCTTCGGATTAAACCAAATGAGATGAATATGTTTACTAGAAATTTAGAACATGTGTCCTACACTCAGAAACTGGCCCATGTTATGAAATGAGATGTGAGATAACACAGGTTTAATTTATATTTTAGTGTTTTTGGTATAAAAATGTTAAGATTCTGTAACAATTTGGTTTGGATTCACAGCTAATGACACCCTTTTAATTGGTTCGATTTTTCATTAGTACTTTTTTATTTTTTATTATAATGGGCTTTAATCCAATTTATGACCACCTTAAAGGTGAATTTGGGTCTGCCACTACCTACATTCCTTCGCATCCAAAAACATTGTATAAAAACATTAAGCAAATAACATTAAATAATATTTTTCATTTTCTAGTTGCTATTCTAAATACTTTTTTAATAATTGTTGATTAACTAATAAAGAAGGTAATAATTATGCTAATAATCTTCAGGTTAAACCAAATGCGATGAATATGTTTATTAGAAACTAGGGCCGGACCCGCCCTACGGGCGGGTAAGCAACTGAACGAAATAATAAATTTTAATAAAATTTTGTTTATTTAATTACATTTTTCACTATTTTTACTACAAAGTCTACCATTTTTAATAGAATATATATATTTTCTACTATACCAAAAAATTTCATGAAAATATAAATTTTTTTACTTTGTTTACAATATTTTATTTTCTTGATTTTAATAGATGATAAATTCTCTATGATATACTTAAAAAAAAAGTTTTGTTAGAAATATAGAGTTAAAAAATAAAAATGACTAAAAGAGATTTAAATCTTTTATCAAAAGAAGTAAATATACACTTATATTCTTAGAGTTAATTAATCTAGACATTAGGGTTTAGAGTTAAGAGGTGAGGTTTAGGATTTAGCGTTTAGGGTTTATGGTTTAGAGTTGAGAAATAGGGTTTTGGGGACATGATTTAAAAATTTTAAAAAATTAAAAAATTTAAAATTTTCAAAAAAAAAATGTTATTTTGGTCATTTAATTTTTTAGGTTTATTTTTGTGACAAAATCTTAAAAAGTCTATTTGAGAAAATTGCCTTAAATAGATTTGTAATACATTTCTTCATAAATTTATAATTTAAACAATTCAAAAAACAGAAAGCCAATTTATTATTTTTTAAGAAAAAAGTAAGTAGCATAAAAATATGGTGTTAATTATTATTATTTAATATTTATAAATAACATGTGAAGTTATATATTTATGTATTATTATATTTGAGGAAATATATTAAGTTTGTTGTTTTTTATGTTTTCCCTTTCTAAGGTTATAGAATAATAACATATTCCTAATCAGATGTAACAAATTAGTTTCTTCCTAATTGTTACATTTGATTAAGCTCGCCATTATCTTTTCAAAGTGCTTTTTTTTTATAAAACAAAATCTATAATGCAGACGAAGAAAAAAAGGATTAACAAAAATATAGTCATTTACATAAGTGGTATAATACTTTTTTTTTTAGTGGTATAATACTCCCTTACAAGCGAGAAAAAATATATAAAGTATTCTATTTGACAGAACATAGTTTCTAGACGTGGCTTCTTCACCACATTGGAGCTGGAGCTCGGCATTTCTCTGGCGTACCAACCGGTAGTAGTTGTGTCTGCAGTTATGATTGCATCACCAATGCTACCTACAGCATCAGCTTAGTCGACACTGGATTATCATCTATACCGTCGTCCCCGTCGTCATCGCTACCTCCCTGATCTAGACAATTGTTATGTATATTATATAGAGTTTAAGAATGAAAATAATGCCAACCACTTTACGTACATTGTCAACGAAGTCAGGGAGTGGGACTTGGTCACGCTCATTGATCATTGAGAATGCGGCTGATGGTGAACGTCTGATGGTTGGTGGTGAAGTTAAACGCACTAATCCTTACCTGGAAAGTGGAAGTCTTGCTTTCCATATCTGCAATAAACGGAGGAAGCTGAATGTCTTCAGGGTTAACACCATCTACAGCCTACGTAGTCATAGATAAAGTGATAAATATGTTAGGATTAGATAGATGGTATAAAGTCAGTAGGAGACAACTCTGTTTCTTACCAGCATCTGGCCAGCTTTGCTTGCTTTGAGGTTATGTAACTTACTCATCACACCATCAAAACACACAAACACACATTCAGCAGTATCACAAAACCTATACGCAAACGAATATAGCAAAGCAGATATGCAAATTTAAAACAGTTACTTATCAAGTTTGATTGTAGCCATACATGATTATTTTACTCTGGGGGATCACTCACGGTACTCTTCACCGCATCACCGCAGTGGGTTCTCCTATAATGTCTGTTAGGTTTAAGAGATTATTAACATATGTATTCTGCAGCATATTCTATTAAGTATTAGAAATATACGCACCTGGAAGTTGCGTGTAGTCCAATTAGCTCGATTTGATTATGAAACCCAAATCTACAGGCAGGGGTGAAACCGGTATGGTTCTCATCAAATTTTGTTGCATCATTTAACCGAATCAACCGAATCAGTAAGGGACGATCTGTGACTGTAAGCATGAAGTTCTGAGCACAGCGACAGAGGTCAAAGCCGGACATGGAAAACACCAAGCCGACAAAGAGTATATATAAGGACGGAGAAATAGCAAAGCGGTGGCCGAAATTTTTATATACTACGGTCACTGAGATTGAAGATATCAGTTCACTTACATTAACGTCGACCAGAAGCATGGGAAAGCCACATGATTTCACCGCCGCGCCTGATACTTCCTCACCTCCAGAAACGGAGCAGGCAGAATTCACAGATGAGGAGCACCTGCCAAACTTCAGATCGGATAAAAACACTCACGTTAACCATGCTTGATATTTATATAAGAGAGTAAGTATGGTAGGAGAGATATGAGGATGTTTCTGAGAGGAAGAGAGCGTACCTATATATATATATACTTTTACCGACTCTAAGAAGATGACGACATATCGATCTCAAGATTGTTGGTGAGGAGTTAATGAATGATAAATGTCTGGAGAGAAGTAATGAGAAACGTACGCCATGGAAATCCAAAGAGTTCTACCTCGGATGGTCTGAGAAGGCGGCGGTGAAGAAAGTATAGAATGAACACTAATTGTTAATGAGAGGGTTTATGAAAATTGGCTTACTGCGACAGGGCCGCTTATGGTGAATATGACTAAAGGCCCATAACTAAACGAACCTGTTTTTAAAGTGAGGAAGAAACGCAGCGTATCAGAAATTGGGACAGATGTCACGCACACATCAAAGGAATTAGTGACGTGGCGCCTCCTTGGATGAAAAAAACTGTACTTTATAATAATAGATTTAGAGCACATGTCGCACACTCCTTCGCATATTGCTCTCCCTATCGAGCTGTATTTTTTTTCAATACGTTTTGTATCACTGGTGCTACGCCTTGAAAACTATTTTTAATATTTATTTTCTATTTTTAAATATTTTTAACCCCATCTCAAAAACCCTATTCTTTAATTCTATACAAAAAAAATCAGGATTAGTTAATCCTAAAAATATAATAAGAATATATTTATCTTTTTGAAAAGAAAATTTGGTCATTTTCTACTTTGAATTTTTTTGTGATAAAAACTTAAAAATGGTGATACTAGAAAAAATTTCAAATATAAATCATATATTTATTTTACAAAAGGAAATACAAATGCATAAAAATCTGTTGCAATCTAGAAAAATATAATCAAATTTTACAAACCAACATATATATATATATATATATATATATATATATATTTGCATAGTGCACATAACTTTATAAATCTATCAACTTTTAAAATCCACAAACTCTACAGAAATTCATCTCCCAATAATCTTCCCTAACCGTTGAGTAATATTTTCATTTTCTAATTGCTATTCTAAAGGCTTTTCTAATTTATAACATTATTTGAGAAGTAAATTTGCTGAGTTGTCAACTTCTCCATGATTTTAGGTTATTTTGCTTATTTTTATGTTTAAATAATTTATTATATAATAAAAACGAATTTATGTTAATAATATTATATTTTTAGAAAATATGTTAATTCTTTTGTATTAGATTGTTATCTTAAAAATATATTCAATTATTATTTTAGAAGTAATTTTGTTTAGTTGTCAACTTCTCCATGATTTTAGGTTATTTTACTTATTTTCATGTTTTAATAATTTATTATAAAAAAAAAATTTATGTTAATAATATTTTATTTTTAGAAAATCTATTAATTCTTTTATATTAGATTGTTATCTTAAAAATATATTTTCAATTATTAAATATAAATGAATTTGCTGATTAATTTGTAACTTTCTATGATTTAGGTAATCTATACTATTATTTGTGAATGATTTTTTGCAACAGAGCTCTCACGTTGAAAGTTAGAGCGGTTAATATCGTTTATATCCTTAATGAATAATTAAAAAATTTAATATAATTAAACATAAATAAAAAATGAATTTCAATGATTTTAGATTTATCTTTATCTAAAACTATTTTATATTGGTTTATAAAGTCTTTATTAACCTTGAAAAATAATTATATTAGTTAATATATAATTAATATAAATTAAAACGAATTTCATTTATTTGATAATTATCCTTATTTTAATTTTTTATATTATGTGATAAAGTCTTTATCAACCTTGAAAAATAATTATATTTGTTAACATATAATTAATTCTAAATTAAAAAATGAATCTCATGAATTTGATAATTATCTTTATCTAACTTTTTTATATTGTGTTATAAAATCTTTATTAACGTTGAAAAATAATTCTATTTGTTAATATATAGTTAATTATGAAAAATCAGTTCGCAAAGACTTTATGTATAGATAATTTATATTGTGTTATCCAAAACATTATTAAAGATAATTTTTTATACTTTTTTGTTATGTCTAAAAATGATATTAATTTATTACTAAATGTTTTAAGTTTATGAGTATTTTCAAATTTAAGTTGTGTAATGAAAATTATTTATATGATGATGAAAAATTTTATATATAGAAAGAATTCCTTTAGTTTATTATTAAATATTTTGAGTCTATGAACAATAATTTATTATAATTTACATAAATTGATTATATATTTATTTATAGATATTAGTAAAATTATTAAGCCCGCAAGTGCGGACAAAACACCTAGTAACTGTTGATTAACTAATAAGGAGGGTAATAATTATGCTACTAATCTTCGGATAAAACCAAATGCGATGAATATGTTTATTAGAAATTTAGAACACATGTCCCACAGTCCTTCGCATATTGCTCTCCCTATATATCGAGCTGTATTTTTTTTTTAATACGTTTTCTGTCACTGGTGCTATGGCTTGAAAAAAGACAAGTTCTAGATTTGGAACACTCTGTGCTGGCTATCTAAGGAAAGAATATCTGTTTATTTTAATGCCTTTTATATATCAGAATAAAACTACCATATCATTCAAGTCAAAAAAAAAAATAAACCCTAAGACTTGGTAAAAACTTACATCACCGGAAATAAATTAAAAAAAAAAAAACAGACAGAAATAACTTAACGGCCGTCAGCGAGAGGATTAACGGCAGATTCCTTGCAAGGACTTGGAGGGAGACTTGTCGACTTTCCTGAGGCAACAAGACGTTGCACAAAACTCTGGATTCTTTCTCCGTTTGTTTCCGTTAGTAACCGTTTCCCTCCGAACGGCGCCGTTTCTACACCTCTCTCTTTCAGCAACTCCTCCGCCGTTTTTCTCCGCCCCACAATCTCCTCTCCGCCGGTCGGTAAACCGCTCACCTGCATTGCATGCATACACTTTCCATCGTCATTATTATTTTGACGAGAAAAGGTGGGGAAATTGAGAACCACCTCACCTGGATTCTAACGTAGTCCGTACGGTTCCAACAGAAAGCGTTCCCTAGCATCTGGTCGACGGTATCGGAAACCCCGTCAAGCACAATGTCCAGGACGCATGACGTGGAGCAGTCTCCGTTACGCCTCAGTTTCTTTCCCATTCCCGTAGGGGAAGAGGATGAGCCGTTTCCTAACGATAGCACGAGCAAGTCATCGACGCCGTTAACCGACGGAAAATCTCGCTTGTTGTGTAGGACATGCGTGACGGCAGCAGCGGTTGGATTGTTCATCACCAAACCTCCGTCTACGGCCGAGCAAGTGGTCTTCCCGTCCACCGACACCACATTGACCGGCTTGAACAAGCTAGGAGTCGCCGACGTGGCACGGCAGACTTTCCAGAGCTCGAAGTTGAAGCTGGGAGACTGGGAGGCGCCGGCGCGTGAGAAAACGAAAGGAGCAGAGGATTTGAGGTCGTAGCAAGGAACGAGGAGAGGCTTACACGTGTCCTTCATAGTCAGCACCTTGCCATCCTCCCTCCGAAAGGCCGCCTCCAGAACCCTCTCCATGCTGCTGCCTGAGTATCTCCTCCGGTTTCTCCTGAACACTCCCGTGTGCTTGATCTCGAAGAGCTCCGAGTTCTTCTCCGCGATGAACTTGACAGCGTCTCTGGCGGTGAACATTGGCCTCCCGGAGCCGTCGTCGGCGACCAGCAGGGCGGCGAGGATGCCTCCGATTCCGGTACCGGCAACAATGTCAAAGAAATCGGAGATCTGAGCGTGAGGATCGCCGGTCTGGAGGCGGATCTGGTCTTCGAGGTGAAGGATGGAAGCTCCGGCGACAATGGCAGTGGTACCGCCACCGTCGATGCTAAGGATGCGGGTCTTCCTGTGGCTGTGGGAGAGCCATTTCTGTTCAAGCGTTGTGAAAATGTCAAGAGTTACCTTGCTCAGATCCATCTCCATAAAGAATCCCTGCAGAGGACAATAGTACCCAAAGTTCGATTTTTAAGTGAAAAAAAGGGTTTAGAGTTATCACTCTCTCTCTCCGTCACGCTTTGTTGCAGGGAGGCATTAATGCGCGCGCTTACTCACACTCTCTTTCAGTGACTCTGTGTTTAGAGTGAATGGATTTGAAAGAGGAGAAGAAGAAGAGAGGGTTTATTTAGTCACTCTGAGATAAAGTCTGCATAGTGGGTAGTTGTTGTGGTTGTTTATATACTCCATTTGACTCTGCTCAGTTTGTTTCTTTCTCCCCTCTTTTTTATTTTATTTCATTTGCACCGTTCTACGAAATGGACCGTATATTTTTATTTTTTCTCCTTTCATACAAAAAAACACTGAAAAACTTAGAATGAAATGGTAAAGTATCTCTTCCTTCTGCATGTATTTTTTCGTAACATCATGACTTATTATGTGAAGTCTCTATACAATATAACTATATTTTTCTTTTCAGATGCCTAAAGAATGACAACTTATATTTCGTTACAGTTAACAAGACTGATACATCTACTTCACAGTTTCCTGTGTCTTTTTTTTTGCCTGAAATGGTCTTATACACTTATCTGAATATTTATACAAAAATAAAATTGTATACTTTACACGTTTTAATCTCTTGTGTTTAATCTTAGAAAAATAAAAATTAGATACTTAATTAAGTAAATCAGGGTTTAAATGATAAAACACCTAAAAATGAAATACTGGTAGGACTGTGTTTGCACGTGTGAGTAGGCATGTCAGTTTGAAGGTCAAGGAGTAAGCGCGAACCTCGGCTGCATTACCGGCTCGGCTTCCGCTATATATTCTTTAATTAATCACATCGTTAGCCTCCTCCTCCTCCTACTAATCTTGTGTTTATATTTTTTGATCATTCATAAATGAAGGCCGACGAACCGGCAGAATTAATACAATTGTTTATGATATCAAAGGACCACGAAATTAATACTATATTATAAACCTATAGTAGATGACAAAATATATAAATAGCGCCAGTATATTATGATTTTGACCGATTTAATTTTATTAATTAATTTCGTTCTTTTACTCAGATCAGACCATTGGTCCTTACTTGTAGGCCTATGTACGTGAGCCGAATGCAAATATTAATTGATTTAGGCCCAGTTTTTTGGAATCAGGCCTAGATTAGCAATGGTCCATTTCTTCAGTTTTTGTTGTTGTCTATACTTACTTTATATATTTACTTTTGTAATTACATATTCAGGTGAAAATAATAATAACTCAAATAGTAAAAGTAAACACTGGATGACAATAATATTTCTTATACGAAGCCACGCTACCGTTGCACATTAACAGACAGCATAAGACCATAATCATACCAAATACTCCCTCTGTTCCTAAAAGATCTATATTCTAGTTTTTTCACACTTTTTAATAAAACACAATAAATTTGCATAATTTTTTGTGTTTATCTTCTTTCCATAATTTTAAACCAATCAAAAATCAATTAGTGCAATTAATTTTTTTGAAGTTTACAATTATTTAATAAAACATGCATTGAAAATGTAAAAAATGGATCTTTTAGAAACAAATTTTTTTTCTAGAATATGTATCTTTAAGGAACGGAGGGAGTACTTTTTATCATTATCTTTTTTTAAAGAAAACGATGCTGAGAAAAAAAAAAGTAAAAAGTAAAAACACACAGCTGATAATAACAAACACAAAACATGGCATGAATAGGTGACAAAAAAGCACGGCATTGGGCATGAACAACACTTTTGATTAATATAACATCAATGCCACCAAAAACACGACAACACCACTCATAGCCGTGGACAGTGACACTGAAAATGAAATGGCAGCGTTTTGAGCGGAATCTTCGGAAACAGTGGCCGGCGATGGAGATAACCCTGTGGAAGGTGAGGGAATAGGGGAAGGATCCGGACTGAATGTGATGGCGACGACGAGGACATGGAGCTTCTGGCCAGCTTGGCAGTGGCCAGGGAAGCCGCAGAGGAAGTAGTAGTGGCCGGGTGTATTAAGAGCCACCGTATCGGATCCGGAATTATAGGTGGCCACAGCTAACGTGGCGTTGCAGGAGAGGAAGTCACGGCGGCTCACTTGCTTGACATTGTGAAACTAGGTGTTGTAAACGAATACTGTAAACAAAGTACAAGCCAACGAGTGAAATTAGAATTCTAGAAACATTTATATTTAAGAAGAGAAAGGAAGATGTATAGGGTACAGTACATAGAGAATCTCCGGCGGTGAAAATGTCGGAAGAGGTCCATTTTTGGTAGTCGACGTTGCCGAGAGTAGTCCATCCGGCGGAGCCACCGACCTTGTGGACCGACGAGGAGGCTAAAGATTCTCCAAACATTCCCATTGCCAATAATATACACACAATATGTTCCCGGGTAAGCCCCATTTTACAATCTTTTTTTTTTTGCAGAAATAGAAAAATTGACGGAAATTTACATGGAGTCGGATGGGTATAAATAGAGTGTTTCATGGTCGAAAATGTTATATCGAGCCGACTTTAATCTGGATGATGGGCCGAAAAAGCATCAATCTTTGAGGCCCATCAACCATGGAGAGCCAATGCAGCTATGCTTGACAAGATTGAGGTGGAGTAGTTCTATGGAAGTCCAGTAAGTCTGAAAAGCATCGCCCAATCAATAAAACCTCCGATTAGTACTTGCCTTTTGCACCCAGCCTTTTGACAAATCTAGGTAACATTGCTTGCTTCTTTTTTTTCTTGTTCTCTTGGTTCGTTCCTGATAAAATCATGATTTAAAGGGACCATCACATCTAATGAACAATATGGTTTTTGCATACTGGACCGTCTCTATGATGGGCGTTTGGTAAAAGAGATTGTTGCAAGTTTTAACTGAGACGTAGGGTTTGAATTTGGTTGGCTTAATCTGTTTCAGTTGATCCAACACCCAATTATTCTTTTGGGTTTAGCCTAACAGTCTTGAAGAATCATAAATTTTGCTTTCCTTTTCCTTTTGTTGCTTGCTTATATGCAATCCTACATTAAACTAAATTATTTATGTAACCATGTAGCGTTTTAAAATAAATAAAGGTTAAATATATAACAAGATTCCTCTTACTATAAAAACGTGTAAAAAATTTTAAAAAAAGGGAGCTCATGAAAATCCAGTTATAGATTTTGGAAGGAATTCACGTGAGGCCACTATTTGCGTCTTATCTTCGTTGTTCGACTGAGGTTCATTTTGGAGATTGGAATCAACCAAACCTGTCGTTTTCAATACAACCAAGGTTTGTTTCCTAGCAATAAGCTTATTCCAGCCCATATTCGGCCCATTTACTACTCATCAAACTTTCGACCGTTGATTATTCCCATCGACGGTTGAAGACGCTATCACTCGATATTTTTAGAAACTGGCCAAAAAAAAAGAACACACAGCCATATCTTTTTTAAAAAGGCTATTAAAGAGGATAAACCAGTCTGAACTGAACAAAAAGAAAGAAAAAAAAAGAAGAAGAAGAAGCGAGTTCAAGTGAAGAGAAAGAAGCAATGAGCAAAGCACCAGAAATTCATTTTCCAAAACTGGAGAAACCTTCAGGCAAGAAACAAACAACGACAGTTGTTGTGGGAGCTTTAGCAGTCGCATGGTTGGCGGTAGAGTTCGTGCTTAAGCCACTGCTCAGCAAACTTAACTCATCAAAGGATAAATCCGTTTCCGAGGATGCCACAGCTCCTCCCGCGGCCGACGCTGACGCAGCTCCTCCCGCGGCCGACGATGCCACAGCTCCTTCTGCGTCCGACGCCTGAAGGTGAGAATGGCCTCTGCGGTATAGAGGTCTTAAAACTGCTTCGTAATCAGTCGTATTTATAAGCAATATGGTTTTGTGTGTTTATGTTGTTGTTTCTTCTTCTGTAACATTGTTCGGTTTTTATTGCCTTGACGATGATTTTAAGTTAAGGTAATCTCGTTTTTCTCTTTTCTTTTGTAATAAAATTCCCGAGATGGAATTAATAAAATACGATGTAATTTGTTTCATTTTCCTAATTGCCTTTTGGGCTTTGTTTATATACCACCAGTAAAATGATTTATGAGTCATTTCATATCTCTTTTTCATTATGGTAATTATCAACTTGGTCATTTCATGTACCTTCCTCTTTGTATCAACAGTTTTTTTTTTTTTATTCCAAAGAAGTGAGTTTTGGTTGTTGCTTGTGGTAACTTTATAAGTTATAACTAGGCAGAATAAAAGTATCAAGCCATATGTAAAGATTAGTAGATAGGTTCGCAGTGGTATTTTCCTCAACACAAAGAAAAAATGGAAAAGAAAGCAGAGTATAAATAGTAAGAAAAAATATGACACTGAATAGTTCACTTTGGTTTAACTAAAAACACGAGAAAGAAAATTAAAAAGTGAATCGTGCATGGTAATGGATTAGCTACATAATCTATGGTGGTAGTATAGGTTGGAAAAATAGGGGCCCAGTAAGATAAAAAGGCGAAATGAAAATGGACCGACCGTTATAAGTTTATCTTGTAGAATAACAGGGAGCCTTGCATTAATCGTCTGCTTCTCTTGAGGATCAAATCAAACTAAAGACAAAGCCAGAGGCCAGAGGAGGGCAGAGAGAGAACAAAATGGCAGCAGCTTTCTCTCCATCAACAATCTCCGCACGGCTCATAATGAGATGAACATGATTTTAGCTAAAAGGACCATTTAAATTCATAACCAAAAGATCAACAACAACAACAATTGTAGTTTACTTGAAGATATTTCGAGGATGAAATAGATCAACAACAATTCTAGACTTATTGCAAGGATTTTACAGTAATATTGTTCCCAGCCAATTTTAGAACTGGGGCAGACTTAATTAGAGCTTCAGAGAGTGCTTCAGTTCCCTCATCCTTCAAGTTCAGGTAACTCATATATATATATATATATATATTTTTTTTTTTTTTTCACTGAATGATCCATGGCGACTTGCTTCTGTAAATGACAAAAAAAAAGGAAGGATGCGTATTCAAATCTCAACTGAAAATGAGAGCCCAATTGATGGAAGAAGATTCATCAATTAAGGTTTATTGATTCTACACATCTAAAATGTCAATAAAGCTCCTGTAACAAGCCCAAAGCCCAGTAATGATAGATAAAGCCCATTATTGGGTTGCTTGAAGCGATGGCGATGAGGGAGGAAGGAAGGTGGAGTCACCCACCGACGGTGAACTGTCCACCACACCTTCTGTCTCTGACTACATTTATTTAATTAATTAAAAATAAAAATAAAAAGAAGATCAAGTTAGTTAAATAATCATAGAAATGGAAACATCCTCTTTCTTCTTGGCAAGAATGATTTGCGGCGGCTTCGAACTTGTAAGGTAGGGAGGGAGCAAAGAATGGTGAAGCGGCGGAGGTAGAGATCTATCTTTGTTCTTCTCTTCCATCTCCGGAGCTTCAATCATTAACAAGTAAGTTCCTTCTTCTTCTTCTTCTTCTTCCACACCAAAAGATCTCGTAAGTTGTCATCTGGAATTTTCAAATCGTATGTACTGCGAGATTGTTGTGTAGAGAGGAATTAGGTTTTCAAGTGCTTAGCTCACCAAACTTTGAACAAGAGATTATAAAACCATATGAATATGATTGCAGATTCGGGTTGAGAACAATGGAAACCTTGGCAACTGATCCTGGATTCGTTGATTCGGGTGTCTACCTCAGGCTTGGGCTTCTTGTAGAGGGCAAACGTTTGCGTCATAAGCCACCCACACTTCTTTCACGTCTCGCTTCTTCTCTCGAGAGATCTGTGCTGTTGCATGACAAATCTCCCCCACACTTCCAAGACTCTTCTTCTGCTGTAACCGTCTTTGACGGTAGATCTCCCCCTGAGATCACCATTGCTGACTACTTGATTCGCATTTTCAACTACTCTCACTGCAGTCCTTCTTGCTTTGTCATTGCCTACATCTACATTCATCAGTTTCTCCACCTCACCCGATCTCATCTCACCCCTCTTAATGTCCACCGCCTTCTCGTTACAACTGTCATGTTAGCTGCCAAAGTCTTCGACGACAGGTAATGCTCTTCCTTCCCCTTTTGATTAGAATTAGATGATGATGACTCTTATTTTTCTTCATTTGACCATAATACATCCATTGATGTTGTTTGTCTGTGCAGGTACTACAACAACGCTTACTACGCCAGAGTGGGAGGTGTTAGCACCAGAGAGTTGAACAGATTGGAGATGAAGCTCTTGTTCGCCCTTGACTTCAAGCTTCAGGTTGATCCTCACACCTTTCACACCCACTGTTGTCTCTTAGAGAATCACAACAGCGACGACGGGTTCCAGATCGAGTGGCCTATTAAAGAAGCATGCTGGGCCAACAAAGAGTCTTGGCGGAAGAGCACACCCGAGTCTGTCTGCTCTCAAACCACAGCACGCTGATCAGGAAGGAATGAATTCATGTGATGTGGCGAAGTGTATAATAGCGTTTGTGTGTGTGTGTGTTTGGTTAGTGTGATGATCATTCTTTTGCACATTTTGATTCTTGTGAGCAGCTAATTCACAAACTTTTATTTTTTTTTCTTAGTATAAAGTTTCTAAATTTCTCACAAGCTAGTGCTTTAAGAATTTTATTTATATCTTACATAGTTTCCATCGTTGCTCAAAACTAAATAAAATTTTCCATTTTAAACATCACACGGCAACTCTTTCCTCATTGCGAGTAACCGGAGGTCATATTGGTTTTGCTGTTTCAAGGACCCTTGTTGATCTCAGGCGGTTGTGGTGGTTCAGTAGCAGCAGAAAAGGAGCTGCAACCACCTCAGCATCACCACGTACACCTGAACCGTTGGCTTCTCCACCACCACCGCCATTTCTACTGTATGATCTAAGCCGTCAAAGTTGCTGACTTGAGCCTGACGTTGAGTGGCTAGGTATGTTGATTATATGGTGGCGACTGGCGACTGGAGGAGTGGGCGTCGAAATGATCGATATATATATGTGAAAACAAGATCAAATTTGCAATAACTTAATGTATTCATAATCTCATGAAAATCCAACATTGTTAATCACATAATATGGATTCTACTCAACTAACTTAATGTATGCATAATCTTCTTTAACTTGTAGCATGGACTGATGTTCATGATAACAAAAAAAAAATCAATAAAAACAACTATTGGTAAATGGTAAAACACGCAATAAGAAACACAAATGAACAAATCTGAAAACATTAGTGTTAGAACATTTCCAACTCTTTTTTTTTTTTTTTTTTTTTAACATTTCCAACTTCACTACACTTTATACTCTAAAATAGAGTTTGGAGTAAAAGAACTACAACTTGATTCCATATTTCATTCTATCGGACAATAAAAATGTGTTTGCTCACTACTGGAGTAAAAACCAACTATATTATATAGTTATCCATTGTAAATAGTTAGTAACTGAAAAGTATATATAAAAAGGGAATTAACGTGATTTTATGAACATGCGTGTGCTTAAGTCTTAGAAGCGTGCATGTATTCAATATGTTCTGATATTGATAACGATCAAGCAAAAATAATAACTAATTTATAAGGATTTTACTAGATATGATTAGATCTGTCCAGCGTGCAGGTTTGGCTTTAGCTTATGAGAAAACTAATAAATTTCTAAGGTATCGTTTTCGGAATAGTGACAAACCAAACTTATTTAATTTATTTACTTATCTTTAATGTATATTTTGAAAAGACATTCAAAGTAGACATGATTCTTATACAAGTTAAATGTTAAGAATGGGATTAAACCTCGAATGTATATCCCAAGTTTATATAGCTACACCAAATTTACATTTACAGATTCTATTTTGTCGTTATTTTATTTTTTACTTGTAACACAGCTTCCACATTTGGAAGAATAATATAAAAACACCAACAAAATTAAAGGTTATACTCTTGCAACGAATGAGCAAATGATTACTGAAAGAGAGAGGTTAGTTAATGCGCATGGTAGGCGTGATAGCCTTATTGGTCGTATTATTTACTTTTTAATCATGATGATTAATCAATATATTTTATATAAACGTGAGCTATGGGTTAACATCAATCAATCATTAAGCTTCTTATCTCGATTTATTTTCTTCGTATTTATCATGAACATTATATAAAGTAATGAACTCCCAAAGTTGGTGGCCACCACCGATGAGTTCAGGCGAACGAGCTAGCACTCATATACAGTCTATAGCTATGGAGTCTTTTAAAATGTTTTATGTGAAACTATTCAATAGACAAAAATGTCGAAGCAAATAAATGTATCATAAAGAAAATAGCAATTCGTTTTTGGGTATGAATTTTAAGCAATTCGTTTTATTCTTAACCTAAAATCAACTGGTACCAAAGAAATTGATTTTAGGTTGATGTATATACTCTTTATCTTGAGGTTGGTGATTGCAACTAAGCAAACGAAACTTTTCTATAACTACAGAGAAAATTGTCAAATGTACTAATCAACTGATAAGACAACAAAAAGCTATAATTAAAAAAAGCAAACGCATATAAGTCTGTTTAATCCACTCATAAGTCATTTGATTAGAACTTTTTTATATATATATATCAAATAAAATAATAACAAAAGAAGGGAATTGAAAAAAAAAAATATTATCAAAAACATATAATAATATAACTTACCAATTTGAGTTGATATAGTGGTAAAAGGGTTGCAGTTGTAACTTCCGTCACTTGAGTTTAATTCACGCTGGAATGAATTATTTACAAGGTTTATGTTCTCGACAAAAAAATGAAACTATTTTCTTTTCTTAGCAAAAACTAAAATAAATATAGAACCTCCCTTTAAAATCTAACATAAATCAGTAAATATCTAATATATTGGTATTGAAGTTTAAGATAAGTGTAGTGTGGGGAAATTTATTCATACCTAGGTGTAGTAATTTTGTATATATATAGTTAAATGAATTAATGATACCTGGGTGACTGTGTTTAGATTGATTTCTAATATACATGAAATTTATTATGTGTTTTATTTAGGTATGTATGAATGGAGGAATCAGATACTCGGTACATGGACGTGTAGGAGCATGTACACATTAAGTTCGCACACAAGGAAAATTTCATTCCAATAGGCAATAGCTACGACTTGTCGCTGTAAGAATAATCTTTTTAAAGGCCCTTTCTCAGACCATTATACTATTTCTTATCTTCTGTGAATAATTATAACGTAAAAAATAAAAAAGTATTCTTTTAGGTTTTCCCGTCTTAAAATTATACGTAAGTGGAAGAGTAATAAAGATGCGCTGCTTAGGTCTTGGCCATTGCTGCTCGACAAACAATTTTGCCTCTCCGTTTCATTAATGGACGGAACAGAATCTTTACATTATTCAACAAAAATAGAAAGACTTATATAAGAATATCAAAATTTTAATCATAGAATCACATCTGCATGACTTTTTAAAATGATTTTTATATATACAATCAGGGCATATAAAATACATATACATATAATACTTACTATGCCGATTTTGATTTTTTTTATAATGTGTGTTTTAGTTTAAGTTGAGGTTTAGTGTGTAATGTAAATCAGTTCAAGTGTTACTTATTTCAAGCAAAATTGTCTATAAAAGACAAAGCCAAGCTTATATACACAGCCTAGTTTTCATATAAGAAGCTTACCTTCAACTCAAATAATATAATTAGACATTTGTTTTTCCTTTTCCATATCTATTAACGGAAGTGCTTCTGATCATCATTTTCCACACAAAAAAGGATCTTAACTTCACATCAAGCGTAATAGAAGTTTAACTTCTATTGACACATTATCAAACAGCACTGCAAGGGCATCCATTGTTTGGCTACGCTTAAACAAATAGAGGAGAATAAAGTAAAGATAAAAAAAAAAAGAATAGGTTTTGACCAATAAAAAAGGGAGCCCAACTTGTCATACACTATCATTCGTTCAGACTCCTCAAGTGTGTGACTCTTATATATATATGAATGATATGCCTCATGCAAAGTCACCTGAACATCGATACAAGCGTCATATTTAAATATATATCAAAACACCTGAAGTCTCAAGTTTATTTTGTGAAGCTTATATAAATCAGCATGATCATGAAGGTATCTATGGCAATGTGCAAACAGTCATTGCCTCCTTCGACAACGTTAGACTTCGCTCTGGCGAGTTTTGGTCCCAATATGCTAACTCGAAACCCATACGTCCCAAAGGAAAAAGTCGTGGTCATCATGGGCGCCACCGGAACAGGCAAGTCACGACTATCCGTTGATCTAGCCACACGTTTCCCAGCAGAGATCATAAACTCCGACAAGATCCAAGTTCACCAAGGTCTCGACACCATCACCAACAAGATCACTGCCGAGGAGAGATGTGGGGTACCGCACCATCTCCTCAGTGTCCTGCCGCCTCAAGCCGACTTAACCGCCGCGAATTTCTGCCACATGGCAAATCTCTCAGTTGAGTCTGTTCTTAACCGTGGAAAGCTTCCAATCATCGTTGGAGGTTCCAACTCTTACGTCGAGGCTCTAGTCGACGACGACGACTACAAATTTAGGTCGAGATACGAGTGTTGTTTCCTATGGGTCGACGTGGCACTACCCGTTTTGCACGGGTTTGTGTCTGAGAGAGTTGACAAGATGGTGGAGAATGGAATGGTTGAAGAAGCTAGAGAATTTTTTGACTATTCGGATTATGATTACTCGAGAGGGATAAAGAAAGCAATCGGAGTTCCAGAGTTCGACATATTTTTCAGGAACGAACCCTTCTTGAACGTGGGAGACAGAGAAGAACTATTAAATAAAGTGGTCGATGAAATAAAGAGTAACACATTTAAGTTAGCTTGCAAACAGAGAGAAAAGATCGAACGGTTGAGAAAAATCAAGAAGTGGTGCATTCAGAGATTGGACGCCACTCAAGTTTTCACAAGGCGTAGATCAAAGGTGGATGCTGACGTGGCGTGGGAGAGGCTGGTGGCTAGACCGAGCACCGAGGCTGTTTCACGGTTCTTGCTCGATATTGACAGCCCTCGAATGTTGGTGGAACCATCAACCGCAGCGGTAAGGGAACGCGAGATGTCCCTAGTGGCGTAATCAGCTGTAACCACATACAGATAACGCTGAATCCGGAAAATGTGGTTTAGAAATATTCTGATGATATGGCAATGATTCAAGACTACTACTACGACGAGTGGGGAAAAATATATGCTAGAAAATAAAGTTATATTCGCGGCTTTATATCTTACTATATTACATGCATCATTTATAGTACTGTCAGATACTGAAATTTTGGCATAACGGTTATTCAGTATTATCTTCTACTTTTTTTTTGATGCAAGTAAGACTGTAAGTGGAACGGTATACTTGGAATTGAGACTTGCCCACCTTGTAATAACTATTGATTTTAATATTTCAACGTCTATAAGCTGAATGGGCTTGAATTTGGAACCTTATATATACCGTGAATAATTATACAATGTTTCTAATTCTATAAATGTAGACATATGATGCAGAATTGCAGATAAACGTACGTATACATACCAAATATACGTACGATCCTAGATTATCAAGAGCCGAACTAATAACTGACCAAATTCCAGCTGCCATCATTCAAAAAGACATTACAAAAGAAATGGTATAGACATGTGGAAATTAAACTTAATGTTGATTAGTAGTATGGAGATATTTCATATATAGTTGAGCTAGGAAAAGAATGAAACCGTTCTAAACCATTAACCACACAGATCAAAATGACATGATGAAAATTATATAAAAGAAAGTTTTTCTTTGGTGTGGGAATCCTTGATCCTTCTGAATAGTTGTTAACCAGTTTGACTCGGGACATACGAAGACAAGCACAAATAAAGTGTAAAGATGGATTTCTAATGAGTTCCCTGTTATCAAAATGAAACGACCGTACAATAGGAAACACTACCACACGCCTGGGGCCGTACAGGGAAGCCGTTGACAATGTATGTTGCATTATTCGATTCAAAGTGGGTTAATGCGTTCTTAATTGGATTCCATCCATTATTATTCTCTAGATGCTCCCGGGTCCCACTCCGTCATTATATTATTTACATTGCTAATTTCTTTCTTTTTTTCAAATAAATATATAAGATGGTCCTACAAGATGTTTTAGTAACACGCTAAAACTAACAAAAAGACAAAAGAAAAAATTTACTTCTTAAAACTTTTTTTTATGAAATTAGTAACGGAAAATAGTAAAGAATATTAGTAGTAGTAAAATCTAACTATATATAAAGTACAAATATAAATTTAAAACTTACGTAATAAAACAGAGAGTGGACTACTTTGACCGTGGCCCACTGGCCTGGTGTAGATGTGAATACTAGAAAAATATGCATCTATGTGTGTGGCTTTGACGTGGGGTTTTAAACTATAAGAGATAAGGAACAAAGTGGAAGAAGACAAAGAACAAATTGAAAAAAAAAAAAGTCTCGAGTGATAAAAGAATCACATCTTTTGAGCATAACGCAATAATTATATTCTATCACTGGTTCCCATCAATACGACTTTTCTTTTGACAGAAGTTAAGATTCCATGAATCTCCATCTTCTTTTGTTTAATAAGTTATCTCTTTGTCTGTTTGTTTGTATTATTATACAAGTATACTCTTTTATTTTGTCGATGAATATTGCATTGTGGTAAGAAATGAGTCGTTGAGCTATGTCAACGTAGAGTTTTCGTGTGTGTGTTCTTGTTAGAGTTCGAGGTAAAATCACAAATATCTTCACCCTCTCTCCCACTTAGGGGTAAATACAAGACACGGGCCTGAAATAAATTTCAAAAGCTGTGATAACTATAAATAAATAATGGGCCTGCAGTAATCTCATTGTTCTAAGAACTTAGGCCCATATACGCCGCGCATAAAGAGCGAGTGGAGCTGACGAGAATAATGATGTCTCTGACTTTCTTTCTTGCGTTTGTTTAGTTGACTTGGACTAGACTAGTGTGAACATACACAACCGTAACTTAAACTAAAGGAATTTTTTTCTTCTTATTACATCTAAAGAGAAGAAGAAAAACAAAAGGATATGTGAAGAAGAAGACATGGAAGTATAGTTAAAAGAAAAGAGGAGGATTAGTGAATGAGTCTGCCTCCGCAGGTGAAAGTGACAATGCAGGACTCATCCACAAACACTGTGTAGTTATGAATAGGTTTGGCTAGCAATGGCGGCAGCCTCACCAGAAGTTCACACACGCACTCGTTATCCATTTGCTTCAACCACTTGCAACATTCTTGTTGAGCATACGTCTCCTCTCTGTGTCGGTGGTGATGATGGTGGTGGTGGTGACGGCGGCGACGGTGATGGCTGTGGCTGTTGTCGTTATTGTTGTGGTGGTGGTCATGGTCATCGTGATCATGATCATGGTCGTGGTCATCATCATCGTGATCATGATCACGGTCGTGGTCTCGGTTATGATCATGGTCGTGGTTTCCATCATGGTCATGATCATCGTGATCGTGGTTATGGTTGTGGTTGCGATCATGGTCATGGTCATCGTGATCGTGGTCATGGTCGTCGTGGTCGTGGTGATGGTGGTCATGGTCATCATCGTCATGGTCGTCGTCATCGTCATCATCATCGTCGTCATCATCGTCATCATCGTGATCATCGTCGTGGTCGTGGTCATGATCATGGTCAGGAGGAGGAGGAGGAAAGGTGGGAGGAGGAGGTGGGGCAATTGGGGAAGGAGGTGGGACAGTTTTCATTGGGAGACGTGAACAGGCGTAGTTAGCTAGCGCGTATTGAGAGGCGCATAGTGGACGTGGTGGTGGAATCTGGACGATTCTTTGGCCACGTGTGAAAGAGGAAGAAGAAAAAGCCAGAAGGAGAATAGCTACAAGGAAAAGAGTTTCCATGGAGCCTCTGGGTGAAGAGAGATCTTCGGTTGTTCTCTTTATATATATATATCCAAAGGTGAAAGAAGGCACAAAGAGAATGAGAAGATAGGTTACAGACTGCTTTTAGGTTCATATTAGAGTAAATCATTTGATTTGTGTGTCTTTTGTTAGGTTGCTTGCAGAGCTTTTTTTTTCTAAGGAGATTGTTTCATGTTGGCACAAACAACAAGACCTGTTCCTTCCTATATCACAACCAACTTAATCACATAAACTATTCATAGCTGCAATTCCAAGATCGTGACAAAAGATAAGCGAGAGTATTCAAACAAGAGTGTTGTAACTGAGTTTTGATTGATCCTCTAATATTATCCAAGATGATTAATTCTTGATTTAAGATATGAAAAAAATGATATCCAAAAGCAAAGTCTAGCAACTGCTTTACACCAACAACGGTATGAAAATAGGCGGCATTTGGTCACTTATCACAACACCGATTAATTTAAATCGAACTTAGTTCAATCAGAGAATACTGAGGTATAGAGAATTGTAAACTGATATCTTTCATTGATGTATAGCATGCGTATATATACAAAGGTTTGGTGTGTAGATAAGTCTAAACATATATAAGATAACTACACAAGTATTTAGGATATATAGTCATTATCTATACCAATACTAGAGACAGAGAGGTTAGTTAGTTAGTTAGTTAGTTAATCACAGAGACGCTCCTCAGCTTTCTGCTTCTTGGCTGCTAGAAAAATCTGCCTATCTTTCTGGACCTGTTCCCTTTGCTTTTTTATTCTATATCTCCTCTGCTGCCATCTTTCCTCCAATAACCACATGAAGTTATCCTTAATAGCCAGAAAAGGATCTCTATCAACCAATTGCTCGTCTTTATAAAATTGTCTAAATACGGCAGTCTTGATCCCTCCTTTAAGTGACAAGTAGAACATACCTGAATTCCGAGTGAAAACACTCGAGAAGGCGTTTGATAACTTGAATTCATCGCAGAATTCGCTAAGAACAGGCACAGGGACTCTCTGACAGCAACGACAGAGACAGCAACCCGTGAACAAGACCAACAGTTTGTTTCTCCATCTTCTTAGAAGATTGGTCCCAAATGAGAAACATCCTCGTACGGAGATACGTAGTCTTGCTACCGCAAACTATCGCAACGCGCCGCATTTTTGGACTGTGTAATAAAATGATAATATACGAGATGTAACCCACCAACTAATAAAAAATCCATGTATATTAACAACAACAACAACAATTATATAAAAACATCTTCGACTTATTTACACAGCTTTACTTTGTTTGGTATTTTTGTTTTTATAAGATCTCTTCTTAAAAAGAACAACTTACATTAATTATTTCTATAATCAAATGATTGTACATAGCAATTTTCGAACTATGATCACAGTATATCTTCCCTTTTCTCTGGGAACTAAACTAATACATTAAGCAAGAAGAAGATTTGATTGATCAATCATGGGAGGATGAGAGAAGAAAGACGGCACATTTCCAGATGATGTACAGACGAGCCCTTTGCTCCTTTATCTGCTTCGAACACTTCTTCCATGTCCTTACCCTCCTACTACTGATGCATCTCAACACCACTGTCGCTGCCATTGTTCCTATCGAAAACGCTTTCCGGTGAAAGAAAAAAAAAAGACTATTGTTTTTGATGTGTTTTGGCTGCTGGAGAGATTTATATTGCTGCTGACTAGCTAGAACTCTATTTAAATAATCTGGGAAATCGATAGTGTAAAGATGCATTATTGAATTGAATAATATGGACCTACATGTTTCTAAGCATGAATGGAAAAGACATGGTGCTTTAACCCTTCGCTTCACTTTTGAACTAATATCTTTTGATTTGTATCTATCATCGTTTAGATATTCAAAAAAAACCTTTTTTTTTTTTTAATATAAATTTGGTATCCTCTTTATTATTTTTTTTTTTTTAAAAAGCCTTATCAGTTTTGAGATTTGATTTTGCGGTGAGGACATTGTTTAACAGAAATTTTCTGTTCATGCACACATGAGACTTAATGATGGAGCTGTGGCTTGTGGGGCTTTATGTCTTGCTGTGCTGGGTTGAAATTCGATGATTAAGTATCTGTTTTGGTAGTTAAGATATGAGATTAATTTAATCAACTACTTAATCATGGATTTGCATGTATGAATGTTCATCTCACCAAATCACTCGGTTGATGCCCTTTGATATAAGCTTTCCAAATGACCCAAACGGTACTAATTGAAGGGTTTAGTTTATAGCTTCACAAATTAATGTGTGTTAAAGAAACATAGTTTATTAGTTTCGTTATATAATGATCATGAATTTTGTCTATATGCCTCACAACTGTATGATCATATTAATTTGCTACATCAAGGCTCATGCAGTTGTCATTAGGTACGTGAAGGGGTGTCCAGTTCATTAAAAATGAAAATTTATGTGTTTAATATGGTTGAAATGAATATATAATTTGTATACGATGAAAACCAAAACCTAATAAGTCTAAAGTTAAATCAAAAATAAAAACGATAAAGAACTTAAATACAGAGTTAGTGGTAGCTCGTAACCATAAAAACATTTGATCCTTGTCATAGACAATATATGTAACTCTTGGGATTTTGGAGATAATTGTGAGAAAACAAGACATAATTTTGATGCTTGGCTTTTGGAGAGCTGAATTTTGTTTATTTTGTAACCGCGTGGATGTAACCCAATAACATGAGGTGATATACAATTTTTAAAAAAATACATGAGGTGAATCTCCAAAGTCAGCTATCTTCCTTAAAAGTCTTGTTTAGTGTATGCAGGAAGAGGCAAAAAAATGGCTTATTACCGAGTGTGCAACCATAAACAACCACAAGCATTATATTATAAAACAGATCATTTAATACTTCAAAATTTGTAAATAAAATGAATATATAAAAGAGATGAAACTAACAAAGTAAGTATTTCTTCTCACAGATCATTCTCATTCGTTAATGTCATGATCATTCGTTTCTTTTGGAGTTAAGTAACATGCTGCAACCCAAGAAATTCATAGTTTGCAGAAAACAAGAACAACCATAAGGTGCGGATAAGGTTGGTTGTGTGGTCTAATTAATGATTACCGGATAGGTCGGTCGTTTGTTTCACAAAAAGAATTGGACATTAATAATCTAATATTTTGACTAATTTTGAACAAAACAAAGAAAGCAAAAAGAGATTTGATTTATTTGACAGGTAAGATGAATGCACCAAAGAGTGGTCAAGCTTTCCTTCACGTACACCTTTTGCTGCTTCATGGCTCTCTCTCTAGAACAAAGCACGTGCGAATGATGCACCAAATTCAATCGATACATTACAGATGGAGAAAGCCTCTTATCAAATACATGATACTAATTTGTAAAGAAATTAATGATCGTAAACGCAATTAGAACCATAAAACATAAACGGCTTAGATATAACAAGTTTCTACCAAACTTTATGGACTTCTTTTCTCTTTTCAGAGACAAGTACTGTTCGTATCCAAGTACTGTTTATTTAGATAGAATTTTTTTACAAGGCTGTATAATTTACTCAATGTGTCATCTTTGGACCATCAAGCTCGAAAATATTCGGGCAAGGATCAATGTGTCAACTTTGGACCAGATCGATAAAAATCATGTTAGACTGCATGGATTATGGGTTCTGATACCATGTCAAGCTAGATATACTTTTAACCGAAAACTAATTGGTAATAAGTGGATTAACCTTTTTTTTTGAAACACAACTTATATTAAACCGCCTTAAACGAAGTAGGCGTTTCCAAAATGGCTAGTTCAGCAGATAATACATTCTTTGCCAATCTATCCGCAACTGTGTTTCTCTCACGCGAGATCCAGTTAAACGAGATGGATTCAAAGGAGGAGGCAATAGAGATAATGTCAGCTAAAATACCATACAAACCAACAAGGGGGGAGTTCGAATTTAGAGCTTTAATCAGGATGGACGAATCTGATTCGTCTCTGAGCTTTGGTAAGCCAAGTTCTCTGCACTTCAAGAGTGCTTTTCGCAAAGCTAAGCCTTCAGCAGCGAGCGGTGTAGCAACATGACAGGCAAGAGTTGAGAAAGTGGAGTCTCTATTCTGTCGCTTTGTTGAGTGGATTGACTCTTCTATCTTATATTTTAGTTAATATTTCTTTCAACTCGGGACACTCTGTCTGTGTCTAATAAGGTCAACCTCTTAGTCTGAGCTATCCTAAATTTCCCTCCGCAACTTTTTTAAAAGAAGAAAATCAGAAACGCTTCATCGTATTGGTGGTGTGTTCATCATTACTATTAGCATTTGTAACCGACAAACAAATGAAATAAGAAGAAGGAATAGATTGCTCGGACACTGACAAAGAAGAACCCATCTTGCAAAGTAGCCCCACTTATCGGGTTCGCTAACCTGGAATTGAATCCAGCAACAAACTGATGGGTAGGTGATCCAGTAAAAAAAAGAAATAAGTGGAAAGTGTCAAAGAGCTAACGTCTACAATTCAATTCATGGAACCTATGGATCAGTGGTCAAATAACAACTAGAATAACTGTTCACAAAGCTTCAGAAATTGAGAAAATGAAACTATGGATCTACTCACATTCCTTTTAAGCTCCTAAAAACTAGCTAACAGTGGATAATGAACATAAAAAAAAAATCATGAAATCTGTAATACTGTCGCGGGGCGGCGGAAGCCTTTACCACCAGAAAAATCGAACTCTCTCTCTCTCTCTCTCTCTCCAAGGAATGGTCGGTGTAGGGGTTTGCAAAGGAGATGCATAACGTGCGCCATCATATGTGCGTAGGTTAACGTATTGTGTATCAGAATGCTTTTGACCAATAGTTAGTTAGTATATTAATATTTTACTTGGAGTAAACAAAAAAGAAAAGAAAAAGAAAAGACGGATCATTTGCTCTCAGTCTCATTCAAGTCCAGCCCTTGCTTCTGCTTGCCACTTTTGATCAGTTTCTGCAGCGAACCGAAAGAAATCACCTACTGTAGTTGGTTTCTTACTGAAAGATAAAATAAAAGCTTCCTCATCAGAGTAGAAGAAGATGAGTGGATTTAAGTGTTTCCTATTCGCCGCCCTTCTTTACCTTCTCAGCCGGAGAATAGGAGGCGGGTTAGTTTTTTTTTCCTCTTTTATTCTTTTCTTTTCTTTTAGTATTAATGTTTCTTCTCCCTCTCTCTTTTTGTACTGTCTTAGAGATGTTTTTTTTCTTGATTCCGTCACTAAAGTTGACCACCTCAAGGATCTATGTATGTTCTTCTCCCCCTCCCACTCAATTTCACTTGCTTTTTTTTGTTTTGTTTTATAGTATATTAATTCTGATTACTTCTTTCTTGGATATTTGTTTTACTTTCAGCCCAATTGCTAGGAAAAGATAGCAAGGTCTCGCCGCCTTTGATCATCGCTGTTTCAGGATCAGTTGCCTCTGCCACACCTTTCAAATGTGAGCGTAGTGACTTACTTGCTGTTATTCTCGAGGAAACGGTAATCTCTGCCTTGTTGTATCTTTATAGACAGACGGGACGGGAGCATGTAACAATAAGAAATATTTGGGTTCTTCAGGAAGAGACAGAGTTTCTGAAACGTAATTGGAAGTTTTCGTGGGTTCAAGACACTGCATCCATCAGGCTCCCCGTCACTAAGCAAGTCCCTTGGTATCTGGTAAATTAACCCTTCTTCCTTACTTTCTCTTTTTTTTTTTTTTTTAACTGAACTCTGCTCTTACACTCTCCTTTATGGCTTGGCTGTAGGAAGATGGGACAGGCCGCGTTAATGTATCTGGAGCTGAAAATGCATTAGGCTTTGCTTTGACTGTCGGAAGTGAAGTTTTTGAAAAGTCTGAGCCCTCGTCTTCCCTTGTTCCTGGAACATTAGCTTATCTCCAAGGCTTCAAGGTGTCTTTCCTTCTTCTTTTCTTTTTTTTTTCTAGTCTCTTTGCTCAATGCTAAAAAGATTGGCTGGCTTCAGATGCTTGGAGTAAGACGGTTTGAGTATGTTCTCCCAATTGGTACCTGGCTTACGGTTGTTGGTGAGGTATGTCTCCTCTTAGTCTTCTTATATGCTTGCCTACTTAGACCTCATTTTTTTGTTACTGTTTTCTTTTCTGTGTACAACCCCAACAAGGCCGTCAAGGATGATGGTAGCGGGAATGTCAGGATTCAAAAACCCGAGCAAGGGCCTTTCTATATCTCACCTAAACCCCTCGACCAACTCATCCCTACATTAGGAAACGGGTCAAGGTCTCTGTTTGCCTATTCCCTTCCCCCACGAAAATTTGTGATTAACAAAGTCTAGAAGATGTTTTTTTTTTTTAATTCTCTGGCAGGATAGTCAAGCATGCCTCCATGGGAGCCTCCTTCTCTTTAAGTGTTTGTGGTGTGATTATAATTTTGAAGCCTGTGATTCAATACATCCTATATGTGATACTAGTCCTGTTTGGATATATTCTAGGAGGATTGCGGCAGGGACTGCATATCCTGAAAAGGTAGGTATGCCTCACACAAACAGCTTAACCAAACCCAAATTACTACTTGCAAATCAATTAGTCATTCGTTAAAAGTTAAAGTGATTATTAGGCTATATGTCGCAGAGGTTTAGATGCAGCCATTAAATATATTCTAGAGAGAAGGCGGCGGCATCGACTGTTAAGGAATAGGTATGTTTTCACAGCTTTATTAACCAAAGGCAGATGATGTATGAACCGAATGGTCATTCCATACTAAACGGTCTCTTTGTATATGTCGCAGAGTTGTTGATGCAGCTGCAAATAGAACAATACAAGCGACTGCACAAGGTTTTGTGAATCATTTTTTCTTCTTCTTGAATATGCTTTGTGAATTTTCTCTGATGACAGAACGAACACACATATATATCTATCTCAGCAGATGCAGCTGATCTCTGTGTGATCTGCCTTGAGCGAAAGTGTGACGCCGCTTTTGTTGAGTAAGAGCACTGCCTTCTCTTTTCTTTGTAAAACAACTAACGAACCCTCCTTTCATCAAGTGCATGATTCCTTTCTTTTGTTTAATTTGGTTTCGGATTTGTAGGTGTGGTCATATGTGCTGCTGCATAACATGCTCCGTGAAGCTGCAAGGGAAGCCTTGTCCTCTTTGCCGCAAACCAGGAACTCGAATATTGAAGATTTACCGCCATTGAAGACAACAAAACAAAAAACTCAGTAGCAACAACTTGGACTAAACATTCCTATCTACTAAAAGCCAAATCATCTGGGAAACAATCGTTTGCAAACAAACAAACAAACAAACAAACCTAATAGAATGTTTCAAGTCTTTTTTTTTTTTTGAGCAAACAAGCATTTCATTCAGATCAGAGTTTAGATTCCTGAAGTGGAGTTTGTTACAGACAAGCCAAGAGCAGATTTTGCCACAGAATCTGCCTCAGTATTAAAGTTGCAAGAAATAAACTCGAAGGAAATTACATCAAAGAGAGGAATAGATCGATAGGTATCAAACATGATACCGAACAGTTCAGGTTGAGTCCCTCCCGTCTTCAATAAGTTGATTAGGGAAAGAGAATCAGAGAGAACCGCTAGGGATCGGACGTTTGAGTAGACAGCGCAAGTGACAGCGCGAAGGACAGCTATGGCTTCCGCCATTAAAGCCGATGAAACATGCCTGTGGACTTCTGAGATTATAGAAAGAGAAACTGGAGCTTCTCCTGAATAGATGCCTCCTATACCACAGTCTCCAGTCTTTGCATCCCAGGCTGCATCCACTTTGGCCACCAGCACCAGACTTCTGAGATTATAGAAAGAGAATGTTTCAAGTCTATTTCTATTGAATCCTGTGTTGAATAACATCTTGTTAACAGTTTCAGTGGTCTCTTCTTTCAGTTGTTTTACCCAGGTGGAGATTTTGTTTTTTCAAGCTAAACTCACTGCTGATAGTATTATCTCGAATTAAAAAAGACAAATGTATTTAGATTCCCCGAGTCATGAAAATACATGCATATGAAGGTGTTTGATAAAGACTGTACAGAGGGTTGTGTTCTTTTCGTCCCACATCGCTTATTACTCAAGCCATGGTCAGTGTTCTTGGTGATCATCAGCGCTGCCTGGGTTGACTCTTTCTTAAATATATATATATAAATCTGTTGTGAGACTCTTATCCACAAACAACCAAGTGTAATGCTAATCTGATAGATACCTAACATCTATGGTATCTATCTAAGGACGTGGCAAGTGAGGAGAGGCTTTGCCATTGAAACAGTGAACATGATGAAGAAGGAAGAAGATGATCTATAAATAGAGAGTGGGACTGAAGAATAGATTTTATGCTTGATGTTGATTGTTTTAGACGCCATGAGTCTAGACCTCACTCAATCTGTATCGATTGTTCTTTTCATATTCAATAAGAGAGTCTTGGATTCATAGAGATAGAGATACCTAAAGTCTATCATAATCAAACAAGCTAACTTACTTTAAAAAATGTTGCAGAGTATTTGAGGGTCGTAAAGTGATGTCTTTCGTTTTACTTCTTTGAGTACTTCTTATGTTGGAAAGTGTCAAAGAGGTGAAGCATGATGTTACAAGTGGCTGGTAAAGGAACCTTGATCTACCCACAACAACCGTAAAAGGGTTATACACCCCTTTTTCTATATTGTTTGACAGAGGTTATCATCATAACCTAACCATAAGTGGAAATATGAGAACAACACAAGCAATGTTAGTAGCCAGCTTGCTGAATTTTGGGGGTTTTCTGGTGTTGTCAAGTACAACAGAAGATCTGGTGCCAATGCAGTATTAGAAGAACCAATGCAAACATGTTAACATTGATTCTGACATTTAAAACTACGAGTTCTTATCAGAGAGGTCAGAGAGGCGGCTTAGCTTCTTAACAAAAAAAAAGCCCCCCCTTTAAGAAGTACAAATATCCAGCTCAGTGACAGTTTGATAAAAAAGAAAAAAGCCAATCAACAAACAAACTCGCAACGCAAATATTTGATTAGAGAGCAGAAGAAACGTGAGGAGTAGCGGAGAGAGTCTCATCTTCAATCTTTAATTTGCCTTTGGTTTGCTTGGATTTGGTGCTCTTGTCTGAAACAACATCATCAGAAGGTGTAGCAATAGGACTAGGAGAGTCTTCAAGCTTAGCATCACCAGGAGGAGGAAAAGTGTCCTCCATCACCTTAGGGACAGTGAAAGAGAAATCTTCAAGAGGCGCATCCTTGAATTCAGGATTGGCTTCCACGAACGAAGCAACTTCATTGCGACTCCTAAGCTTTTTACCAGTAGGAGTGAAGTAGTAAGTATCCATCTTAGAGTAGTCTTTTCTGAGGACAAGGCTCCTCTTGAAACCTCTGGGGGTTTTGGGGAGACCAGGCTTGTCGATGACCCATGTACGAGAGGAATCATAGTCAAGATCTGCAGGGTCTTCACAAGCGACTTGTTTCTTGTCGCAGGTAAAAGGGTCATCGATCATTTTACTTCTGATCTCCTCGTACTCCTCCTGGCTATCGATCACCCTCCACTGGTGACAGTTCTCGCATTGTGCTGCATATGTATCGATCAACCTCCCTGGAGCTATCTCTTTCTGCAATTTAGACACACCACAGTAACTAGAAACTTAAGACACATCAGTTTAAGGACAAAGAGATAAAAGACAAATCGATAACGCTCACAAGACTAAACGACCAGTTACTAACACAAAGCCCTTTACTTTAAAGTATCTCAAGCAGAGACAGAACCTAGAAACTGAAAGCCCTAGAAACCGTTACTAGCTAAGAGATCTAGAGAGAAAGAGATGATAAAAAAAACATGGACTATGGCCCCAAATCATAGGGACGTTCATCTCTGCATACTACCTTGGCTCTTGGTTTAGCTACGCTCCCGATCTCTGCCTCCGTCATACCTTTGATTTGCGCCTTAGTTTCCTCTCTTTCCGTATCTAATCAAAGTTTCCCTGACTCTTGCGAACACTTATAATCGCAAGGCAAGGTGTTCTGTGACAGACAAACCGACGCTCGACACGTCAGCTTACTTGTTTTTCACTGTCGGACAATTTTGGGCTTTCGGGCCCAGTATTATAATATTCATATGGGCCTATTGGTCCATCATCTTCGTCGGGTTGTGGGCTCACTCTAAAAGTTAAAGCATGTTCATTTCTCCATCTCACGAACACTATCTCCGGTAAATGCACTGCCACCCTGGAGATCTCCAGCCGTCCTTCGCTTCTCACTCTCCTGTGATGGAATCCCGGCCTTCCGTTACAATCCAGTGTCATCAAAAATGGCGGCAGTTCTTTCTTCTTCCTCTCCTCAGTTCTCCACAAGTTCTCCACAGTCCACACCCCTCTTTCCTGATAAATGAACATCATTTCAAATTGTCCAACAAATAATTTATTTAAATTTCATAGACCACTTAATCAGTGGACAAATCTTCTATAAAGAAAATTCTATTTGCCGGAGAAACATGAATACCTAAGGTCTCAAACCTCTTTAACCTTCATTCTATGTCAAGGAATGATGAAAATATTAATGTATGTTAAAATTATTTTCATGGTACACGGACATCATTTCAAAATTTCCAACATGTAATTTATCTAAATTACATATACCACTTAATCAGTGGACAAACCCCCTATAAAACAAATTTTATTTTCTGGAGAAACATGAACACCTAAGGTCTCAAACCTCTTTAACCTTCATACTATGTCAGCGTCTAATGCAAATATGCATTAAAACAAAATTTTCATATTTTTTAATTTTTCTCAAAATATGTGGGTGAATCCCTATTGAAAATCAAGTTTTTTCTATTAATGTTTTATTAAAAGTTTAGACATCTATTGTTGATGAAAATTACCCAATCACATTCTAAATTTGTATTAATGTATGTTAATGACATCCTTTCAAGTTTTCCAATATGTAATTTATTTAAATTTCATATACCACTTAATCAGTGGACAAACCCCCTATAAAACAAATTCTATTTTCTGGAGAAACATTAACACATAAGGTCTCAAACCTCTTTAACCTTCATACTATGTCAGTGAATATTGCAAATATGCATTAAAACAAAATTTTCATATTTTTTATTTTTTCTCAAAATATGTGGGTTAACCCCTATAGAAAATCGTTTTTTTCGATAAATGATTCATAAAAAATGTAAGGCTCCTTATTGTTGATGAAAAATTACCCAATCACATTTTAAATTTGTATTAATGTATGTTGAAATAAATTTCATGGTGCATGGTAATCATTTCAAAGTTTCCATCATGTAATTTATTTAAATTTCATATACCAGTTATTCAGTGGACAAACCCATTATAAACAAAATTATATTTCCTAGAGAAACATGAACACCGAAGGTCTCAAACCTCTTTAACCTTCATACTATATCAGTGAATAATGAAAATATGCATTAAAACAAAATTTTCATATTTTTTATTTTTTCTCAAAATATGTGGGTTAACCCCTATAGAAAATCGATTTTTTCGATAAATGATTTATAAAAAATTTAAGGCTCCTTATTGTTGAGGAAATTACCCAATCACATTTTAAATTTGTATTAATGTATGTTGAAATAAATTTCATGGTGCATGGTAATCATTTCAAAGTTTCCATCATGTAATTTATTTAAATTTCATATACCACTTATTCAGTGGACAAACCCCATATAAATGAAAATCTATTTTCTGGAGAAACATGAACACCTAAGGTCTCAAACCTCTTTCACCTTCATACTATGGCAGTGAATGATGCAAATATGCATTAAAACAAAATTTTCATATTTTTTAATTTTTTCTCAAAATATAACCCCTGCAGAAAATCGAGTTTTGCGATAAATGCTTTATTAAAAAGTTTAGGCTCTTTATTGTTGATGAAAATTACCCAATCACATTATACATTTGTATTAATGTATGTTAAAATTATTTTCATGGTACATGGACATCATTTAAAATTTTCCAACATGTAATTTATCTAAATTACATAAGCCATTTAATCACTGGACAAACCCCCTATAAAACAAATTCTATTTTCTGGAGAAACATGAACACCTAAGGTCTCAAACCTCTTTAACCTTTATACTATGTCAGTGAATGATAAAATATGCATTAAAACATAATTTTCATTTTTTCTATTTTTTCTCAAAATTTGTGGGTTAATCCCTACATAAAATCTAGTTTTTTTTGATAAATGCTATATTAAGAAGTTTAGGTTCTTTATTGTTGATGAAACTTACCTAATCACATTCTAAATTTGCATTAATGTATGTTAAAATTATTTTCATGGCACATGGACATCATCTAAAGTTTTCCAACAGGTAATTTATTTATATTTCATATACCATTTAATCAGTGGACAAACCCCCTATAAAACAAATTCTATTTTCTGGAGAAACATGAACACCTAAGGTCTCAAACTTCTTTAACCTTCATACTATGTCAGTGAATGATGAAAATATGCATTAAAACAAAATTTTCATTTTTTTCTAATTTTTCTCAAAATATGTGGGTTAACCCCTACAGAAAATCTAGTTTTTTTGATAAATGCTATATTAAGAAGTTTAGGCCCTTTATTGTTGTTTAAAATTACCCAATCACATTCTAAATTTGTATTAATGTATGTTCAAATTAATTTCATGGCACATGGACATCATCTCAAGTTTTCCAACATGTAATTTATTTAAATTTCATATACCACTTATTTAGTGGACAAACCCCCTATAAAACAAATTCTATTTTCTGGAGAAACATGAACACCTAAGGTCTCAAACCTCTTTCACCTTCATACTATTTAAGTGAATGATGAAAATATGCATTAAAACATAATTTTCATTTTTTTTCAAGTTTTTCTCAAAATATGTGGGTTAACCCCTACAGAAAATCTAGTTTTTTGATAAATGTTATATTAAGAAGTTTATGCTCTTTATTGTTGATGAAAATTACCCAATCACATTCTAAATTTGTATTAATATATGTTAAATTTATTTTCATGGCACATGGACATCATCTCAAATTTTCCAACATATAATTTATATAAATTTCANTCTCAAACCTCTTTAACCTTCATACTATGTCAGTGAAAGATGAAAATATGCATTAAACAAAATTTTCATTTTTTCTAATTTTTCCCAAAATATGTGGGGTAACCCCTAGAGAAAATCTAGTTTTTTGATAAATGCTATATTAAGAAGTTTAGGCTCTTTATTGTTGATGAAAATTACCCAATCACATTCTAAATTTGTATTAATATATGTTAAATTTATTTTCATGGCACATGGACGTCATCCCAAATTTTCCAACAGATAATTTATATAAATTTTATATACCACTTTTTCAGTGGACAAACCCCCTATAATTAAAATTCTATTTTCTGGAGAAACATGAACACCTAAGGTCTCAAACCTCTTTAACCTTCATACTATGTCAGTGAATGATGAAAATATGCATTAAAACAAAATTTTCATTTTTTCTAATTTTTCCCAAAATATGTGGGTTAACCCCTACAGAAAATCTAGTTTTTTGATAAATGCTATATTAAGAAGTTTAGGCTCTTTATTGTTGAAGAAAATTACCCAATCACATTCTAAATTTGTATTAATATGTGTTAAATTTATTTTCATGGCACATGGACATCATCTCAAATTTTCCAACAGGTAATATATATAAATTGTACATACCACTTAATCAGTGGACAAACCCCCTATAAAACAAATTCTATTTTCTGGAGAAACATGAACACCTAAGGTCTCAAACCTCTTTAACCTTCATACTTTGTCAGTGAATGATGAAAATATGCATTAAAACAAAATTTTCATTTTTTCTATTTTTTCTCAAAATATGTGGATTAACCCCTATAGAAAATCTAGTTTTTGGATGAATGCTATATTAAGAAGTTTAAGCTCTTTATTGTTGAAGAAAATTACCAATCACATTCTAAATTTGTATTAATATATGTTCAAATTATTTTCATGGCACATGGACATCATCTCAAATTTTCCAACAGATAATTTATATAAATTTCATATACCACTTATTCAGTGGACAAACCCCTTATAAAACAAATTCTATTTTCTGGAGAAACATGAACACCTAAGGTCTCAAACCTCTTTAACCTTCATACTATGTCAGTGAATGATGAAAACATGCATTAAAACAAAATTTTCATTTTTTCTATTTTTTCTCAAAATATGTGGGTTAACCACTACAGAAAAACTAGTTTTTTTGATAAATGCTATATTAAGAAGTTTAGGCTCTTTATTGTTGTTGAAAATTACCCAATAACATTCTAAATTTGTATTAATGTATGTTCAAATTATTTTCATGGCACATGGATATCATCTCAAATTTTCCAACATGTAATTTATTTAAATTTCATATACCACCTATTTAGTGGACAAACCCCCTATAAAACAAATTCTATTTTCTGGAGAAACATGAACACCTAAGGTCTCAAACTTCTTTAACCTTCATACTATGTCAGTGAAAGATGAAAATATGCATTAAACAAAATTTTCATTTTTTCTAATTTTTCCCAAAATATGTGGGGTAACCCCTAGAGAAAATCTAGTTTTTTGATAAATGCTATATTAAGAAGTTTAGGCTCTTTATTGTTGATGAAAATTACCCAATCACATTCTAAATTTGTATTAATATATGTTAAATTATTTTTATGGCACATGGACGTCATCCCAAATTTTCCAACAGATAATTTATATAAATTTTATATACCACTTTTTCAGTGGACAAACCCCTTATAAAACAAATTCTATTTTCTGGAGAAACATGAACACCTAAGGTCTCAAACCTCTTTAACCTTCATACTATGTCAGTGAATGATGAAAATATGCATTAAAACAAAATTTTCATTTTTTCTAATTTTTCCCAAAATATGTGGGTTAACCCCTACAGAAAATCTAGTTTTTTGATAAATGCTAT